TCAAATAAAATTATAGATAAAAATGTAAGTTACTGAAAGCAGACCTTATCCACTTTCTAAGTGCAAAGATTTCCTTTAGGTCATTTTGTCTTTACATTTTTTATTTAAATTTCTCTTCAATAAGCTAAGAGCTAATCACTGCAGGATTAAATACATTCAGAGAGAACCTCAGCTGCTACATGCCAACTCTGGGTCATTTTGTGTTGTAATGGTGTAAATATCGGAGCAAGATTTAGGAGGTGAGATTAATGACTTCAAATATCAGAGAAGATTTGGTGCTTTCAGGATTCAAATCTTCCCCAAGTCATGAAATTTTGAAAAATGCACTGCAGAAAAGTTACATTCCATTGTAAGATCTTTCATTAGATAAGGTTTCTGCAGCATTGCTACTCTCTGCTAGATTATTATTTGGGGCCCTCTGTCTTGGAAGGATTTTTTTTTTTATCTTAAGGTAGATATCCAGCTGTATCAATCCTGAGTATCACATTTTGCATGACTTGATAGTACTGGAGAAAAAGACCCTCTATGTCTATTTTGAAAGGCTGGGTGGTTTGTATACATATAAATTCAATCTTACAATTTCCCATATTTTCAACAGTTAAAAAATATGTATTAATCCATGTTTACAGTAATTTTTCCCTTGCAGTCTCATTCATTGTGTAGTCTGAGAGAACCAAGAAATTAATTGTTCTACAAAGGGGCAGCTTGTTTTCTACATTCACTTTTAGCAAAATCAATGGGTCTCTTGCAAAAAAAGTCACAAATCCAAGTCTCTCTGTATAGCCTGCTATTATTAAATGCTGCTCAGGTAACTCAGTGCTTTGAAATAAGTGGATCAGATTCTCTGCAAAGTCTCATCCAGGCACAGCCTGCCACTCTTCAATATATACACATGTTTGGAGAACAGCTTGTGGTGAATTGTTAAAAGAGGCATGAATAGTTCAGTAAAAATTTTAAGAGTTATAGGAAACATTTACCACTAGTCAGGCAGTTTGGGACTTCATTTAAAAGGCTACATCATTAAATGCTCTGCTCAGATAAAAATAAGACCCCACAGATGCAATTTAGAAAGAAAAAAAAGTATTGTATGTTAACAAAACCCTAATTAAATGCCAGACATGGGAGGTTTATTTCTAAGAAGAGACCTGCCATACTGGGAGAGACCAAGTAGCCACAGAGCTCCTTGCTGTCCCTTTCCTGTGACCAGCAGCAGAGAGGACAGCACACACAGCAGACAAGACCTTTCCCAGGCACTGTGTCAGCTTTTACAGCCAAGATTTTCTGATTTAATTAGCAATGTGTCCACCCCCATACATTGCTCTAATCCCTTTTTGAATCCTTTTATTCTTCTGCCCCTCCAGAAGGTTGTCCCACATTCTCTTTTGGAAGGTGTAGACAGTGAGTTCATGGACAACTCCTTTGAGCAGAGGCTGTTTTCTTCTTTGAAAGACAGTGAGTTCATGGAAAACTCCTTTGAGCAGAGGCTGTTTTCTTCTTTGAAAGAGGCTGCTTCTCCTTTGAGCAGAATCTGTTTGCTTCTGACTTCCATGCTTCCCTTCTCTGAATCTGAGTTCATTGCTATGATTTTTGAGATGAGGATACTGAAACGATCAGCAATACCAACACTTTAGGTGCACAGCTTTAACTAGCAATAGTTTGTTTCACTTGTTACTCTTTTACAACTCTTAGTGTCATATCGACTCTTTTAATGAGTTTATGTTTTTAGAGAAGTAGGCACACATTTCAAGGTCTCTTGAGTGATAATAATTAATTTAGGGCTCATATCTGCTTAATCTTAGGTAGGGTTATTTTTTCCTTACTTGCATCATCTTGCGTTTCTTTTCATGAGGTCTGCCACTTCAGTCAACCCACTCCCTACTGACAGTTTACAGCTCTTCCACACTTGTTTTAGATGTGACCATTCTGAACAATAAAAATTCTCCATTATGGAAATTCACAGTTCATTTCTACCTTTGCTCCTTGGCTTTTACCTAATTTTCCTAATTAATACCCTATGAGAGTAGGTCCTTCTTATCCCTTCAAAGTATTTCACCACCAAAGACTCTTACTAAAAATTGAAAGTTTTCCAGCATATTTCAACATGGTTGGTTTTTTTGTGTGAACAACATGCACATCAGATAATCTGTGTCCCTTAGAAGAATTCATGCTTGCAAAAAAAAGCCCTAAATAAATCCTCCCTTCCCAAGGAAGCATTGGGGACCATGGCAGCCAGGATATTGTGGCTTAGGAGGGCTCTCAGGCAGAGTTCCACTGGGAAGAGAAGCAAAGAACAGAAACTCCTCAGGATAACATTACTGGGAGGGAAGGAGACAGAAGATAAACATCTCCTCATATTATCTAGAAATGTGCATGAACCAGTTTCTGCTGTGTGGCCATGAGCTCCTCTCATAAATCCCTAGATTTACACATAAAACCCTATAGAGCATAACAGCGTAACCTTGAATCCAACAGAGATTCCTTCTGCAAAATTTTCCCACACCCTACTTTGCAGCAAGATCAAATGGCAACATATGGCACCAATACGACCTGAGAAGAGGAGCATTACGTCCTCAAACAGCAAAATGGAGTAGAAAAGATACCTTGACAGACACAAGCTTTTATCTGATGGCCACCTAGTGTTGATCCTTTCATAGCACAACAGAATGAAGGGAGTTCAGGGGTACCAAAATATTTAGAGCAGGTACCTTCATCAGGAAGCTGAGGACCATTAGGCTTAAAGGGAAGAAGAAACAGCAAGTTCCTCCTCTTTCTCCCTCCATTCCTTTGTCTCAGGATTTGGATCTGAGCTAGACTCTCGTGGCTCTCCCACCTCCAGCTTCAGTTTCAGCAGACATCTCAAACATGCAGACATCTGCTCTATTCACTTGTCAGGTACAAGAAGTCCAACAGAACAATTTTCTGCCAAATTAATAGGACTTCCCACCCCCCCACCCTCCCACATCCCTTACTACTGAAATGATGTCTCTACTTAAATATTTAGGCTAGCAAAAACTTCTTTAGGTTTAGGAATGGCAAGCATGGAAATTTTAGTTGTGGCATCTCTACCATATTTTTTCTTCTTTCTTACTACCAAAATTCTTACTTTTTTACATAAGACAGTCTCATTTTCAGATCTCCACTAATATACAGTCAAGATGTGACAATTTCAGACAGATCTTTTATTACATATGCCAGAAACAGGAAGATTTTAATATTAGTTTAAGTGATTCTTGCTGATGCTTTAAGAACAGATTTGATGAAAAAAGCTCTTTGTAAACATAAACTGTTTAAGGGTCAAGTTACTCTTTTATTTATTTGCTCACTGATATGTATGTATGGCAGTTATATATCTTCATTAAGGGCAAAATAAACACAATCTTTTGTAGAATGTGTGGCTGTACATATTTAGTATATTTTAAAACATAGAAAATTTTAGACATTATGACATAAATTAGGTGCTTATTTCCTAAGCAACAATGCATTTCTGAAGTCTTTTAGTTGTGTCTGTGCCAGTAAAGTTATGTTTTAATATATATTCTTGCCTGAACCATAGTGGTAAAGAAGCATGCAGTTTGATTATGGCTTGCACTTCAGAGTACTCACTTATATTATCAGTGTTCCAAAAATTAATTTTTAACACTGTAAACAACACTTACATCCATACTAGAAACAAAAGTCATTTTGAGGTATGTCTTTTGTGACTTTATATCAGATGTTCAGTCTGTGTTTGTCACCAAAACCTTCAGTAAATGTTTATCAGGTGCTGAGAAATTTCTTCTGCAGGAATGTATTCTGAACACATCTCTTGTTAGAGCTTTGGTTTATATGAGCATTGATAGCCTAGATATTTCCCAAAAAAAGTGTTTGGGAGCACTTTTCTTTCATTTCTCCAAGTTCTCTGTAGATAATTAAATGTTAAAGTTATGTTATTTTTGAAAAGAGGAACACACTGGTTTTAAACACCAATTTAAAGGTGGATAGTGAGGCTGAGCTGCTTTGTGCTGTTTTCCAGGACTGAAGTGTGGGACTGCAGAGGAATACTCAAACACCATTAGGATATTAATAGACTATATAGCCATTTAATTGTGACAAGCATATTTATGAGTAGTTGGGAGAAAAAAAATAGCATGCTCTCTGGGGAGGTTAGAGAAAATACTCAGCTATAGCATATGCATTTAGTTAGAAACCAGAAGATAATAGAGTAGAAATACTGGTCAAAAAATCAAGAACAATATTTAGAAAATTCAATGGAAAATGAGAGAACAGACAGAACAAGAGCATGGATGGAGTAAACAGAAAGGTGAAGAACCACAGAGAAGAGCAAAAGGAGAAGCTTTGCTCTGTAATGTTTTGAGAAGAGGGCTGAGATGTTTTGATGTAGTACATGTCTGTGTTCTCATAGCTGTCAGTTAAATTCTATTCATTTATTATTAATACCTAATTAGAGAGCTGCACATCTCAATAAATCTTCAGTATTATTTCTACTTATCAATAAACACATTTGAATGGAGGAGAACAATTTCATGTACCCTGGGCATTTTCGGTAATAATTTTTTGTATATAAAATAAAGAATATTTTTGGTGCCTCTATTGCAACATACAAATAAAGAAATTCTGTAAAACAGGAGGTGGGAAACAATTTATGATTGCTACTTACTGTATAGATTTATCCCCTTTCCCTTTTTCAATTATTTTTTTCCTGATCTGCTTATTAGGTCGTTTCCTGCCAGATTTGCAAAATAGCTGAATTATAAACTTTGGACTTCATATGTATATGCCATGTGTATATATGCATCTGGATTCTGAATTTTTGTGAAAAAACACAGTACTGTGTTACTGCAAATGACATTGCATAAGAATTTTTATTCTTATATGCTTTTACACAAGCTGCTTTTTAATTCATATGGAACTTCCTTCTAAAATGAACTGATTTTCTGACATTTGTGAACATCACCACTCCTTTCAGCATATGTTAACTGTGTCTATTGTCTCTTGTCCAGCTGTACCCCATAAAATAGGGCGGATAATTGATGGAAGTCCTGCGGATCGCTGTGCAAAACTTAAAGTTGGAGACCGGATCTTAGCTGTGAATGGCCAGTCTATTATTAACATGCCTCATGCAGACATTGTGAAGCTAATTAAAGATGCAGGTCTCAGTGTAACTCTTCGCATCATTCCTCAGGAGGGTAAGTCAATGGCCCTTAAAGACAGGAAGAAAATTTTAAGTAGCCTCCAATTAGCTTAAATTATGTCACCACTTGAAAGAGCATCTTTTGTTCTCCTTCCTCCGCTGTAACGCACAGCACACCAGAATTATGAGCTTAGAACTAGCTCAGATAGGATCTGAATTCTTGAAAAGGTTTCATGTTATGAAAGGGGTATTTAAAGCAAACCTGGAGAAACCTGACAGAGAGAAAGAGGATGTTAAGGTCTTTTGCAAGAATTGTCTTCTACATGGAAAAGCACTCTACAAGAGAGCCAAGTTTTGAGTTCATTCCCTTATATCTTGCTACAAGCCAAGCCAAAGTTTGACAAAGTGATTCACAAGAGACTGCAATGGCTGTCACCAGGCATGTTCAGCTACCAGCTACGTGTGACAAAAAGTGATGTGAAGGAAGAGTTCAGATTTGGCAGTTTCCTCCATCACAATCACATAGTGATACATCACTGTAAATGCACAAGGAAAGAACTGAACCCTGAATTATCTCATTTCTAGGGTGAGGATAAAGGACAGACTCATTATTCTGGTCATTGCTCCACATCTAATCAGTAAAGATCTTTTGATGTTGGTTTCTTGAGGTTTGGGGTTGATTTCAGGGCTTTTTTTAGTTTAACAGTGTGCTGCATTGCTACATGAATTGTACCACATTAATGAGACCATGTCTTTATATCTCAGCAACAAATACCAGTAGAGCTGGGAATGACACACAGAAAGTAATGGAATTACTTAATGATCCATGGCCCAGTTAGATGACCTTCACCTTATGCTGTGCATCCAGCAAGGAAACAAGGAAATAGTCTGACACTGGTCACAGACTGCAACTGAGGGAACTCATCTACTTTGTTAAATGAATTCAGTGAAGGGGAAAACACAAACATACCCAAATTTAGAATTCACATCAATTAGCACCCGTGTAATTACTGAAGGTCAGCTTTGCAGGCATCTGAAACAAGTGTGATACTTCACGCAGTCCATGAAGTTTATTTAAGGCTCTCTGGTATCCAGGTTAAATAACATCATTAATAGTTTAGTGTTAGAGATGGATACATTAAATTAGAAAGAAAGCAGAGGTGCAGCTGAGTTGTAGTATTACAAGATGTTCTCAGGTGCTACTGGTGAGAAATTATCTGTGCCAAGGCACAGCTTCCCTGTGTGACTGTGTGACACTGGACACCTCATTTGCCTTCTGATATTAGCTTCTCAGCTTAGAAAAATTGGTAAAAAATCTAATACCTCTGTACTATACTTTCAGGTAAAAAATACCATATAAATGCAAAGCAGTTTTAGAAGCAGCTCATGATTTGACCCGTTCATCCATAGTTATGAGAGTAATGTAGAAATGAGGGACAACATTTCTAATCTTCCTCTCTAAAACTTGCAATACAAAAGACACTCACAGATGCAAAATGGGCAATTACAGCCTTAAGCATAGTAATTACACAGACAAGTATTGCTTATGCCTGCATGAGGAGTGTTTTAAGTGCAAATATACAAGCTTTTTTTGACAATTAATCCTAAATTGAAAATATTTTCAATAAAGTAGCCAAAATTTTTATAATAATTGTAAGCATAAATTAGATAAGTAGAGTATATGCACCCATAAGGAAAAACTAACACATTAAAAGTTTAAAAATAAACCACATAAAAATTAAAACTAGATTCAAATGTAAAACTAGGCAAGCTCTGTATCATGTGTAGCTATTGCTGTTAGGGATGTTCAGCCATATGCGTGTCCATTTTATTTGTTTTGCACCATGCCACACTGGTCTCACTCCTTCTATTGCAAGCAGGAATAGAAAAATTATATTTGTCTTTGCTGTTGATAATGCAGGAACTTCTGCAGTGCTCTGTCCTCCTGTGGATGGAGTCTTTCTCATTTATGCATCATAATAGGTAAATAGTGAATAGGACTGTGCTAGTGTGTTGGAAGAAATATATTTGATATGAGCTCAGAACCAAATGTGTCTCCTCCCAAGTCCAGCAAGAAGCCTGAATGAAGATTGGCACCTTTTATTTATAGCAAAACATCAAAACCATATTTCCTAGGCCAATCTCTCTGACTTTTTTAATTTTGTGTTGTTTGGAAAGAATTATTCTGGTTTTCTGCACTGTTCCTATGTGGAACCTTAGTCATTTAATATAATGCAGTGAAATAAAATATCAGTTTAAATGGTTAGTCAAAATTTATTGAGATTGGATTTACTGTTTTACTGTTCACAGTCCACAAAAATTTAAGGACAGGAAACTCTTGATGAGCTCAAAGACAGCAGGAACTAATGTGTTCCTAACACTAAACATCAGTGTTTTAGTTTTTGTGACAGGTCCATCATCCCAAACACTGGAGAAAGCAGTAAAATGTTCATTCTCTCAAAATGAATATTTTTTTCTAAATGGAAAGCATTTCAAATATCTTGTAGCTGTGCTAAGGCACATGAAGGACAGGGTGGTGATTCAGGACAACCAGCACAGCTTTACCAAGGGTAAGTCCTGCCTGACCCACCTAGTGGCCTTCTACAATGGAGTAACTACTTCAGTGGAAAACAATGGACAAGGGAGGAGCTATAGATCTCACCTACCTGGACCTCTGCAAGGCCTTTGACATGGTACCCCACAGCATCCTTCTCTAAACTGGAGGGAGATGAATGTGATGAGGGGACTGTTCAATGGATGAGCAGCTTGAGGGAGGTGATTCTGGCCCTCTATTCCACTTTCATGAGACCTGACCTGGAGTTCTGAATCCAGCTGTGGGGTCCTCTGGACCTGTTGGAAGCAGTCCAAAGGAGGTCATGAAGATGATCAGAGGGCCAGAACACCTCTCCTGTGAGGAGAGGCTGAGGGAATTGGTGTTGGGCAGCCTGGAGAAGACAAGGCTCCAAGGAGACCTTATTCTGACCTTGCAGTACTCAAAGGGGGCTTATTAGAAATATGAGCATAGACTTTTTAACAGGGCCTGTTGTGGTAGGACAAGTGACCTTGCAGCTTTGAAGTAAAAAGGGGTAGATTCAGACAGATATAAAAAAGTTTTGTTTTGGTTTGTTTTTTTTTTTATGATGAGAGTAACAACACTGGAATAAGTTGCCCAGAGAGGTGGTAGGTGCCCCATCCTGGCATTCCTGTCAAAATTCAAGGCCAGGTTGGACAGGGCTCTGAGCAGCTTGGTCTTGTTGAAGATGTCCCGTTGCAGGGGGGTGGGACTAAACAATCTTTAACTGTCATTCCAACCCAAGCTTTTCTGTGACTCTATGATTTTGTCATTCCATCATTCTATGATCAGTAATTCTATGTTTTAAAAGAATATGTGAAACCTGGAAACCATTTCCCTTGTTCAATTGTGTTTTAAATAACGACAGTGTCAACCAGAATTATAGAGTCACCAAGATTTCAGATCCCAGACTATCAAAAGGAGACCATTAGGTTCAAATGTCTTAAAATCTAATTATAACCTGAGACAGTAAAAGCGACAAAGCATAAATTCGCAGACGTAGCGTGCGACCAAAAATTATTATTGTGTACCTTTGCCCTTTATTAAATGCTGCACTGTGGCAGGTCTTTAATCTCCATCTCCCCATTATGCAGAGCTGAACAGCCCAGCCTCGGCGCCCAGCTCGGAGAAGCAGAGCCCCATGGCCCAGCAGCACAGCCCCATGGCCCAGCAGAGTCCCCTGGCGCAGCAGAGCCCCGTCGCCCAGCACAGCCCCGTGGCCCAGCCTCCGCCTCCGCAGCCCCTGCAGCCACAGGGACACGAGAACAGGTCTTGCATTTTCTCATGGTCTTTTTTTTTTTTTTTTGCTCCTTGTGTGTTAGTCTGGAGTCAGGAAGATTTTTTTTTTTGTGGTGGGTTTAATCTCTGGGGTATCGTTTACCAACCAATTTCTCATGTGTAATTTATGCATATACGTTAGCAAATTTATCTATAATGGAAATCAAATGGTAGGGGGACAGAAATATTGTGGCCAGCTGTATTAAATGCTGTTTATATAAAAAGCACACACAGGCTGTGGGATGGTACAAGTTTCTGTGACCTCCAATCAACACTATTTAGTCTTTGTATTATTTTTTAGCATGTTAAACAAGGCTGATTACACTGACTGTCTTTATGCTAATCTTCTGTAACCAACACATATCATCAAGATCTTCTTCCCCAAATGATGCTAGCGACAGGATTGTAACTTTTCTCTTTTGAAAATACTTGAGTTCATTTGTGATTCGGACACTACACCCTCTAATTCTCCTTGCTTCACAGATGTAGTGATTTCACTTGCCTAGAATTATTTTCTTGCAATTAGTCATACTAGGAAAATTACTTTGCCTCATATTTCATTGAGTACTTTCTCCACAAGTGATCACCTCCTAGAAGATATATGTTTCTGACAAAATTCAATAAGAGGTTTTCACAAAAGTCATTTTGTGCTATTGGAAGTCACTATTAAATATCTGTTAAATTGGGAAATTTCAGATGGGAACAGCAAACGATATCAATTAAAGTTCCAGAAAGAAATTCTGTAATAATTTTACTGAAAAGTGTAAGCTCTAATTGCTCATGTCACCATTTACATATTCAGCAAAAATTATAGTGCCTCCATCTGTGAATAAAAACATCATCTTCTGATATGCAGCTGTGGCCATATATTGGGAACCTGCCTAAAGATGACTCTTATTTCAGAAAAAGGTCAACTCTTGCTAGTTCACACAGTATTATTTTTCACTAGATTTCATAAGCTAGATTACAGCTTGTTTGTCTAGCCACATACATTGTTTCTTTAACAAAATAAGAATTTAAGACTCTTAAGAATATTAACTAGGATTTTTTTACTTCCAGTATTAAGGCTCAGTATCACAGGAAGCCTCACAGTAAGTTTGTGCTCTATCTTCTTTTTACAGGATCATGATATTGAGTAAAGAAAGTAAGATGCTTGCATGTACGCATGCAGGTCTTACTAATAGTGGCACCAATCTATTTTAGTCTTCTCAGAAAAGTCAGAGGGAAATAGTTCTGATATTTTTAGTGTCTGGTTAGACATTCAGATTATTAAAACTATTGTGTAGGAAGATTAGCCATAATTTCACTGTAACTACATCAATAAATTAATGAAATTTTGAAACATATCAGACAATTTGAAACATTTAGATTCAGCTTACCTTTTTATATATAAACCAACATAATCAAAAACAATGCTGTCATTTCTTCAGAGTGCAATTTTTTGTAATCAATAAGTACTTTTCAAAATCTCTTTCAAAGTCTATATGTGTCTGTATGTGTCCGTGAACAGACATGGTCACTTGATTGACTGAAAACTTTCAGTCCATTATTAAAGCAGAATTTGATATGTCTATTTCCTGTACAGGAAAGAAACACTTCCTTTGGCACCTAGGGAAGAGTGTAAGAACATTCACTCTGTGAACATTTTTGTTAAAATATAACCTAAACCACTATTACCTTTTGTAATATACTATTACCTTTTGTTAAAATATAACCTAAACCAGAATTACCTTGCTAAAAGTGTTCAGGACTTTCTTTGTGCCTCTTTAGCACACCACATGGCTGAGGTAGGGAAGTTTGCCATAAGGAATGTTCTTTACTTCACCCTGAAGTGCCATTATGTGCTGATTTCCATGTGCTAAGGGAAATTCCCATCTGAATAAAGTAAATAACTAGGCACCGTATCCCAGAAAATCACATTTTCTTTCAAATTGTAGGACCCATCTCCCTGTAACCATTTACCAGCTAAAGCAATATTTTACTTGTTATTAATTCCTCATAACCAGTTTTATTTTCTTTTCACCTTGTGTTATTTCTGTGCATACCTACTGACATGAATTTACTGACGTAGCTTTTAGCCAGGTAGCATCATAGGGAGTGTATAATAAAAATAATGCATGCTGTATTAACAGATGCTATATCAAAGAATGCCTTTCATTAGAAAAGTAACAGCTAAAACAAAGAATTTATCCTTTTTTAACCTTAAGAAGCTCACAATAATATTTTATGTCAATGAAAGGGGATATACACTGGACTGGTATTCCACTTATTCTATAGAAATATTAATTTTGAAAAAAACATTTTATAAACTCAGTGAATTATTTTGTAGTGAGTATAATGGGTGTTTTCACATGCAGTTTCATCTTCAAAATAGGCAAAGTGGGAATCAAGATGCTTTTTCTGTTCCTGTCCCTTTGAGTCTAATCCTGATCTCACTGATACAAGCTGGAAAGTCGCACGGTATGACCTGAGGGAAAATTGCTTCTGCCCATGTTTCAAAAGCGCTCAGTGTTTTCAGATGCCTCGACTATTTCCCCTTGAGAGTTCTGCTTCTCTGTGAAAATCTGTTCTGTACAATTTTGCAGCCAGGCAGCTGGCTTTCACTCCATGCGCTGCATATTCCTAATGGCCTGCCGCTCTCTGAAACCGAGCCATTGTGCCTTCCTCAGCTACAGGTCAGAAGTAAAAGCCAGGCAGGACGTGAAGCCTGACATCCGGCAGCCCCCGTTCTCGGACTACAGGCAATCCTCCACGGACTACCGGCAGCCCCCGCTGGACTACCGGCACCCGCCGGTGATGGACTACCAGCAGCCACCGCCGCTGGACTACAGGCAGCCCCCGCTGATGGACTACAGGCAGCACTCCCCCGACACCAGGCAGTACCCCCTGTCCGAGTACAGGCAGCCCCAGGTACAGGCAGACAGGCTCAGAGCACCCAGCAGGCAGCAGGGTCTGTAGGGACAGCTCTGGGATGTTGGTGAGGAAGATGCCACCATGGAAGGAAAAGACGCATTGAAGGGTTTTACTCTGAGTTACTACTTCTCTGTAGAGGAAATTACTTCCAAACCATTAGTATTAATGTGTGTGATCTGGAAATTAACATTACACTTATAATTGCGTGACTGTAACATTAAATAAATGTCATTTTTAAGGTACTGGAGAGTTGGAATAAAAATTCTAACATAAAAAGCTTTTTCATCAGCAGAGGAATTTTTTCGTTCTTGGCACCTATTCATTCATCAGACAGTGGGTGTACTTAGGTCAGACTGCATTTCTACAGCATTGTTGAAAATTAAGATTTTATCTAATCGGAATAAATAAATAAAGGAATGAAAATCCTGACTGATAAAATTAAATTTCTGTTGGTAATAGTCTGGATGAGCAGAAACTAGCCCATGCAACTAGTTTCTTTGACATCAAGCATGATCTGACAAATTCAAAGAGATCATGAGTTAGATGAATAGTTATGGTACCTTGAACAAGACTCCTCTGATGACAGATATTTACTGACAGTTTTGAAGGCTGAGGATTTAGCTGAAAGTTCAGACTTTAAAAAAGACCTTCCTTTCTCCTCACATAAAGTCAGGAAAAACAGAGGTCAAAACGTATTAAACAGGAGACTGCAAACTTCTGGACACTATGTGCTAGAACCATGTATAGGTGGTTTGTTTGTCCATATTTTCAAAACCAGACAAGTAAACCATATCAAGAAAAATACTGAAATTCTTAAATGGCATCCAGAGAACCCTATGAAAATATTGTGCATTTCAGTATCCAAATACAAATCTCTATCCCCATGTGCATACCTTATAAGATACTTCTTAGCATCTACAGAGATGCTTGGGTTGGCTCTTTCCCAGCATCTCCAGTTTAATTCTCTAATCAGTAGACACATCCCAAGCTTGCTCTTTCTTTTCTCCTGTTCCCACTCGTGGCTGACAATGCGTCAGAAGCTACATTGCAATTTCCCTCCCAGACCCCTCTATGGACCTTTGCTTATATCAAGTGGATCAATACATTTTTGAAGAGATCAATTTTAAAGTTTTCTTGAATGCATAACACAATGCCCATATGGTCAACTGTCTTCCATTTTGTATTTGTCTGTACAGGACTTTGATTATTTCACCGTTGATTTGGAGAAAGGTGCCAAAGGATTTGGGTTTAGTATTCGAGGAGGAAGGGAGTACAAAATGGATTTGTATGTGTTGAGGTTAGCAGAAGATGGACCAGCAGTAAGAAATGGAAGGATGAGGGTGAGTAAAATGATTTGTGACATTTTTTTTCAACATTTACAGATATGTTTGGTGATGGGGTCAAAGAGAAAGTGCTTTTTTTACTTCTGATCAGGTTTTGAAAAATAATGCCAAATACCTCTTTTAAAGTAAGCTCATTCTGCAGGAGTTCAAGAAATTAGTTGATACATATAGTAGATTCCTGAAGTTTCTTCACAAATAAATGTATTACTTCTGACTGATAATACCTTTTATCATGTTATAAATTTTTGTTGCTACCATTTTCACTCTTATCTAAGCAACTTAAAAATATCAAAGTTTGGTGTTTCTTAGATAATAATAACATAATTAACATTTGGATCTAACCACAAAAGCTAAGTGATCACTATATGGTCACTTGTAAGTTATAATGACAAGTATTAGATAACTATGAAACCTGAGACCTCATCTGTGTTGTTTTACTAATTTAAGCAAGTTGCCTTTGTATTGTTTGCTAAATTTGTTTATTGATCTTTTGTTTGTAGGTATTGTGATTTAAAAAAAAAAAACAAGCACACAGTCTATATAGGGAAAAAAAACCTAATTTAAAATAGAGATATTTAATCTGTCCAGTTGTGTAAAAACAAGGTATAATTTCATCCATGCCTGCTGATACTTTGTAGAATTTTCAGTACACAAAAGGGAAAAGGAAAGAACATAGGCAAGACTACCAAGAGTCAACATAAAAAGTTGTTTATGTATCTAATTAGTGCAGTCATGTTCAACCAATATTTAATTTCAAAGATGGGCAATGAAAATTGTGTTCTGTATAGTGGTAAGAACAGATTTTACAAATGTCATGGTTGTTACACTTATTCTGTTCCACAGTCTAAACAGCCTGATCAAATTTGATGTCTTACTGAAAGAGCTCTGTCTTTCTCTGTATAGCTCAGGAGTTTTCCTGTGCTTCAGATGACTCTTACCATGTCCACTTGGTAGAATTGCAAAACTCAGCAAGTCCTCGGTTGTCTGATGGAGTGCAAGCCCCTGGCACTGGGAGCAGCAGCAAAAGCAGTCCCTGTGTCAGGAAAGCCAGTGGGGCAGTCAGGCAGGAAACTGGTAATGGAGATATACTCCCGCTGCATTTTTCGTGTGAAATACAGGAGATTTCGTGCTGCAGATGGAACTTTAGCTTCAGAATATCTTCTCTGTTGTTCATTCTTTCCTTTATTTTAGTATTACCATTGTCAGTTGCTCTTAATGAGAAGTCATATGCAAGGTGTACATTCGTAGCTATAATGTGATTAAAGACAGAGAAAAAGCTGTGCTTTTAATAAGCTCTGGAATCACATGTTTGGAAACATATGGCTAAGAATACAGAAAAAAAATAACATCTTTGAAGAGGGCTCATTTTAAATAATAACCTGCATTAGGTAGAAAATGAGCATTAAAATCTGTGCATCATTTAAACAAATTAGTACTAAGGGATGAAGTTAAGATGATTGACTTTGTGAATAGCCAAAATATAGAAAGTATTTAACATTAATATGGGTGAGTTTTTTTTTTCAATTGCATTAGGAAAATTTCTGTAGGCTTTAAAGAATACTCTTAATATAGTTTCTAAAATATCTTGGTTTAAATATTTTTCATTTTAGTGGCCACAACATATAGCCTAACATAAGTGTTATTCTGATCAGATAGCTTTAATTGGGGTTTTTCTCCCTTTTAAAAACATCATTCTTTGGAACCAGTTCTACCATGCATCTTTGTCACTGAGTCTTCTCTTTTATTCTCCTGCCTCACAGGCATTTTAACCTGACAAATGGGTTTGGAATGCGAAAGATTCTTATATTCAGTGACCTGTGACTGATGGACAGCAGAAGCTCAAGAAACAGTTCCAAAACAAAAATAGAAAAAATAGAAGCAAACAAAAAAAATGGTTGAAAAAAATATATTACATAGGAAGATGGGCAAAGGAAGCAGGGTTCTGTACCCACATCTCCTTTCCTAGGTTTATATCAGCTGTTAACAATGCAGGTTCATCCACACTTCTTGGCTGGTGGTTGCATCTCTGTAGCTCTGGGTTTCACAGGTGCATCTCTACAGCAAAACATGCAAAGATCAGGGCAGTGCTTCTTGCTTTAGATACCACTGTCCTCAAAGACACGATTCTCTGATCCTAGGCTTTCAGCACTGAGGATAGCAAACCATGCTTTTGTGAAAGATCTTACCAGAACACTTCCCAGCTAAGAGTCATTCTGATTACCTAGTTGTCTCCATTATTGTTTTGCTTGCTGTTTCCTCCTCCTTGAGCAGCCTTCTTTAATTTAACTAAAACTTTACAAAGAAACGTTGAAGCAGATAGCACAAGGTGCAGGTCATGCATATAAAAAGAATTAACACACACAACTCCAGCCCTATTCCCACTCATGAGACCAAGAAAATAAAAAAAAAAAAACACAGATAAGTTGTTATAAAAAATAGATCATATAATGAAACATGTTACCTGTAGGGCACTTAGACGTAATAAGCAAACACATTCCACAAATAACATTTTGTTTTCAATCTACATATAGCCAGCAAAAACCCTGATAGAGACTCAGTCATATTGATACAAAGCTCCCTATTTTACAGAAATAAATAAAATAATTACCCTAAAGTAAAGGAGCTGAAGCTATACTAGTGGTTTTATAAAATTGTATAACTGAAGAAATGAAATCTCAAACAGAAAACAGCTCTGGGTGGGGAAGTCAGAGTCTGTATGTTTATTCTGTTAGTGGGCACTGCAAAACCACAGCGTTGGAATGAATCTCAATAGCTGTATTCCACTTGGACATGTGTTTAAAAAAATCTGAGAGTCCACCACCACACATTCAAAAGATTCTAAGGTCTAAATACATGTAAAAGTGTTAGGCATTACAGATGCAGAGGATATTAGAGTAAAACCTATGATTATAGGAAAACAGATGTAAATAAAGAACTGGAACAGAGCTATCTCTTGTAAAAGAAAAAAAGTAGATCCATTGCTGAGGAAGATAAGTATGGCAGGAGTACAATATGCCAATAATAGCGAAGAGAAATTGAACAAGAAAGCAATGATAAAACAAGATGAAAAAAGTGACATCAAAATCAGGACATCTTTATGAAAATTTCAGTTTGATCTTCCAGCTTTTATGAACTTCGGTGAGATAGTGAGCAGAGAACAGACTCACAGAACAAGCCCAAGAAGTGATGATCTTCCACTGGTCCTGCCAAAACTGTCTGGATTTGTAAATATTAATGTAAGAAGGAAAAAGATGTTATGAAGTTCCATTATCACATCACCACTTCCAGTCATAATTGGATTATTATTCTGGTCTCCCTTCCTACTGGGGATGGCATGCTAGGCACATTGTGTTTTTATGGGAAACAAATTCAGCAAGGAATACCCCATTTTAGGATTACAAGATCTAAAATAGTGTTTAATTGCACTTCATAACAGATGAAGCTTTCTACTTTGATTTTCTGCAGAATTGTTCTGGGAACTGGAAAGGTGGAAGAGCACTGAGTTGATGTCCTACAGACTTCATCAGTTTTCCTATCCTATTGCTCTTTGACTCAGGAGTCCCTTTCTGCCAGACTAGATAGACACAGCATTAAGTCTTGAGGTTCAACAAATTATTCCCTTAAAAGCAGGTTTAAACTTCCACAGTCTACTTACACTTAGTCATGGCACCTTCACATGCACTGAGACTTTTGTTTGAGCCCATAGACTCTGCAGAAAGCCCAAGCATATATCTTAGTTTAACCTGTATTCATTTATCACGAGACATGAGAAGGAAATGCCCATCAAAGGACCCTGAGCTCTACAGGAAGCTGATTCTTTCTGCCCACGTGGTTGTTAAACTATTCTCAACCAGTGTTGGAAAACCACAGCCATAAGTGCAGCTTCATATAAAATCATGTGTCAGATCATACACCACAGTTAACTGTGGCAAGACTTTACTGCACTTTATGGATAATATATATGGCAGCTCCTCACAGGAGACTGCTGTAAGGGAGAATCTCATCACTACACTGGAATTAAATACTGATGGTGTATTTTATATAGATATATAAAATGTATGTGATATATGTAAATACTGACTTAATTCTGGCAGCTGAGCAGAGAGCAAGCTACAATGGCGAATTCTGAAAAACCTATCTATGTCTGTGCTCCATAAGACAAGGATGTATTAAAATAACCATGAAAAAGGTTTGGAGAACTATTAGTGTCTTTGTTATCTTTCCCCAGACTGGCAGAGGTCTCAGCACATCAGGATTCCATTTCTCAAGCAATCCTAACATCAGGGAAAACGACTGAAAGTACTTGGTGATGGCAATATTAAGAATAAAGCTGCAAGGCCCAGTCTCAGAGTAGGGCAACATGGCACACACACTGCCAGTGACAGTCATATTGAGTTGAATCTGTCACCAGAGACAAGGGACATAACACAGGCAATGTGGAGCACAGACCCCACAGCCTCTGAAGATTAAGACACTACTGGAAACAATTTTACAGGTCTATTTAGATAAGGCTCATGCTAACTTATATTTTATTCTTGCCTCATGCTGAGGACAATGTTTGGCAGAGCTCTGCTTGCAGATCTCTATCCCTTCCTGTCTTAGAGGGAAGTGGTAAGTTCCTGAGAGCACTCAGGGGGATTGTTAAGCATGGTGGTAGGGTTTGCTAGACACGAGACAGGATCAGCAGATCTCCAATTGCCTTGAATGGCATCTCCAGCAGCCAGCATGTTTATTGAAACCAGTGTCAAACAAAGAGCCTATGGCTGAGGGCTGCAAAGGTACAGAATAACATTAAATTCTGGAAGAATGAGGGTGAAATGTGCTTGTTTTGTAAACAGTGTACATCTGTGTCATTTTGTCACTTTATGAACTGCATCCTTTTTTTACATCTTCCACAAAAGCCATACATCTCATCTCTGACATCTCTAGTTTCATTGTCTTGTCAACTCATTTTTCTCAGTCCTCATGCACCATTTAGCCCTATCTCCAGCTTCCTC